CAATAATAATAATAATAATAACGCACACAGGGAAACCTTGTATCGCAGATACATGGTTACATACATAGACAACAACAAATTACACCCAAAGTCACGAGAGAAATAAATGTAGGCCATACAAATATTTCTTCCGGCCCGGGAATCGAACCAAGTACCTCTGCATGGCAGTCCGGCATGGTAACCGTTCGGCCACTGAAGCAGTCATAGAATGACTGACAGTATGCTTGCACGCCAACTCTCCCGGTCTTCCATCCAGCCACTGCCGTCCACCCTGCTCAGGTCGTCCGTCCATCTTGCCGCAGGGCGTCCTGCACTACGTTTTCCTTGACGTGCTCGCCATTCCGGAGCAAGTCTGCTCCATCGGCGATCAACCCTCCTGCAATCATGCTCGGCCCTCTGCCACTTAAGCTTACTGTTTTTGCGAACTATGTCGGTCATTTTAGTTCTCTGACGTATGACCTCGTTAGGGATTCGGTCCATCAGAGAAACCCTTGAATTTGTGGACGAGGTAGCCGGTTGTTAATGTCCGCGTCTCAGCTGCGTAGGACATAACTGGTAGAACGCACTGGTTAAATGTCTCGTAAACCCTCGTACAGTACACCTCGTATAATTTTAATTGCCTCCATGACCGAAAGGTTGCCATGCTGGTCTACCAGGCAGAGGTCCCGGGTTCGATTCCAGGGCCGAGAGAAAAATTTGTATCGCCTACATTTATTTCTCTCGTGAGTTTGGGTGTAATTTGTGTAACCATGTATCTGCGATACAAGGTTTCCCTGTGTGCGTTATTATTATTGTAATGTAGAACATATGTACATATACTTTGACTCCACATTCGCCTTGATCGTGGAATTTGTTCTGATCAGTCTGGATAATGCCCCGAAGTAATTCTGATGTACTCAAGGTACAGGAAATTCTCAAGTTTAAGACCAGGTAGTAAGTAGTGGTTGTATGAAATATTATTACTTATTACCTATTTATTCTTACTAGCTAGGCATGCAAGACGCTTTCAATTCCAAAGTCACAAGTCAAGTTTTCTGTACAAAAGCTGCTTGCTTCCAAACATTTCTAGATTGTAAAAGAAATCATTAACATTCATCGTATACAAAAACATAATTTTTTATACCGAGGTAAATGATGTAGAAGCATTGGATGGCGTGCGACGAAGGCCGCGTTATTTTTGGCATGTGACGTCATTGCTTTCCATGCGTTCACTGAACGTCTATCCACAATCACTCCCACCTCCCACGTGGACCAACCCTAGTTTCAATATTCTCTAACAGAATTAGGTATATGTTTGTACCTGGTAGGACTCGAATCTGGACTCTGCCATGCCAGGGGAGGAGGAGATCAGGAGAGCAGGAGAGGATCTTACGAATTCGTCTACTGTTTATTATATTTATACTTATATTTATTATGCGGCTTCTGCGAACTTGAATGACATAAATCCGCCGCAGTGACCCGGTCTTAACCGACTTCAAAGAAGAGGGAAATTCTCAATTCGACTGTATATTTTTCTTTTTTTTGTGTGTATACGTTACGCCGGTCTCTCTGGCATTGTGAACTGATTTCGATGATTCTTTTTTGTTGGAAAGAGGGTACCTCTTTATTGGTCCCATTTAAATTTGAAGAAAATATTTCGCCGCTGAGGGTGGCAGACTAGGGCATGAATCCGGTTCCGCGCAATTGGCAAATAGGTAGATGTAATTCCACGAAATTTATTAAAAAGTTATATGTTTGAAATAAATATTGCAAAGAGCAACCCCTAGATTTTCGTGCTCATTCTTCTCAGGAGAATCTACCAATGAGCAGTAGAGTTTAATGAAAACGACGTTTTCAAGTATAATTTGCTTACGAGTGAAATAAAGATTGTTTGACTTCGATTCATAAATGTACGTAACTTACGTCATGACATGCAGTTATAGGGATTTGAATCGCCTACCCCTCAACTGGGAAGCAACCGTATTCCCCTCAGCTACCACCGCTCTAAGCTCTCTAGTCCCTAATAGAATTGGATTCATGTTTACGTCATAATTGATGGAAACCACTTTTCATAGCTTCAGTCATTAGCAATAAAACCGAATAGTCTGATTTTCTGTTTCAACCAAGAGGTGGACACTATTAAAAACATTAACCTATGCTCCATTAGTTTTTAATAATTTATTGTTGGAAATAATAAACAAATCTCTTGCCTCTCCCGTGCCCTAAAGTATTAATTTTAAATGGGAGAGGCGGTATTCCGCGGCATTGGCACAATTCAGGGTCAGGGACTCAGGTTCAAGAACCGGCTAACAATACATGTCGTTTCGAGTAGTACTGCTATCAGCATTCGTGTTGGAAGCGACACGCCACAAACCCAACCGCCTCAGCTGCTTGCGAGGCTGACTATTATTCTTATTTGAAACAACTTACATTTAGGAGATATTCTTTACAACCCCTATGCAATGTTTAAATTTCTATCCTGAATTAGCATGAAAGAAAGACCTCTATTGTCCATTGTTTTGTTCTGTTATATTTACATTACTGTTCTGTGTTGTCATTGTGATATACACTTTGGAATATTGCATTCAGTGCAACGAAACTCGATACACTACCGTCTGCACAATAATTTGTCCAAGTTAAGCAAAACGCTTCTTCCGCAGTAAATTGTTTTAAGAGCGTTGAGGGAATTATTCCTTTATTTCTTTTTGATTAAGCGATAATAAAAAGTAAATTACGGAGCAATCTCGTCAGTGTCTACGGATCCATTAATTACACGACATTGTTTTCGGACAGCCTAACACATCTCACGGGTACTCAGACTTAACTGCTCCACCGGAAGTAATGTTTACTAAGAAATAAAATATTTCCGTCTGCATGAACTGGTTTGTACCCACGTGGAGTATCTACTCAGATTTGCGGTTGACCTGCCTCATGCGTTTATTTATAGGAGAATTCTATTAGGTTAAATGTGACGTCACATGGACAAATTAGAGCATCCCAGGGTATCCATCGGGGATTGAGTGAAAATGTTCCTTAATACAAGCAAATAAGAGTCGTATTCGAGTGGTTGGATTCGCAAGGCTGTTCACTAGAGGCGTGTGAGCGACGGCATGCACACAAGCGCGGTGACCCGGTCAGAGCCCATTCTAGAAGCCCCATTGATATTCCGCGAGGTTTCATTGATGGAATCAACTTGTACGATGTCACGTTATGTCCACGAAAAAATACCTCATAAATGGACGTAGCAATGGTGGCACTTAAGCGGTCGCGAGAGTTTAAAGCAATTTAATACAGCCCATTCATGCTGCTGTTTATAGTTGATTGTCAATTTAAATGTTGTTGTTAAGGTTATTGGTATCGGTGAGACGACTTTGCTGCATTGATTAAACGACGAGATATTTTTAAATGGGCACGTTATATACTTGTTTTGATCAGAGTTAAGAGTCTATACAACCTCCAAAGGATTTGGTTGCATCCGTGACAGTGAAAGTGTTAAATTAATCACTTTGGGGAAAAATATTTAGTACAATTGAGGATACAGACTGATTACTTTGAACATGTGTATTAGTAAGTATAAGTTATTAGTAAGTAAGTTTATTTAGGTATATTTATATATACATATATCTACGTAGGTATAATATATCATTATTCTTTAAATATTTTATAAATTACTATGTCTTTATTTAATTTTTTTTATTTTGTATTTTTTTTTTAACTTATACAATTTTACTTATTTATATTTTCATTTTTATATTTGTAAAATTGGCACACTATGTCTCCCGCTCCGATTAGCTTTCCTCTAACTCTAAGGTTGTCTGGAAGAGATCGCTCTAAGCGATCAGACCGCCTTTGCCCACATTAGGTTTAAGTTGTTTATGTACTATTCTTGTTCTTGTGTGTGAGCCATAAAGTGTATCTATCTATCTACTATACGGAGTGACGATACGATTCCTAAAATTTTTTAATATAGAAATAAAACAAACTTACATCGAAATTTTACAAGAAAACAGCTATATTCAATAGGTACATTACATATATATACAAAAGTACTTCTATATACCAATGATTTGTTTTTATATCAACTGAACTAAATAGGACATGTAGACTATACGACATACATTTTTTAAATGGCTTTAATTGGTAAAAAAATAATTTCTGAAATAAAGCCGCTGTCGCTCGACCCAAGCAAAATGAATTCCACTGAGGAGAGTTCATGCTCTTAAAACCTGAATGTTCTTAATACATCAATAACTGCTTTTTATGTGTTGTAATTATACTTGGTTTTCATACTTGCGTAACTACTTCTAATTTGTCTGTCAGCCTACACCTTTCTTATTCAGTCGGCAGCTATTTATAGTATCGTATTTTCAGTTATTCCTTTACGAGTAAGCTTAACAAATTCGAGGTCAACGGAGCGGAGGCTCGCTATGGCCGGGAGCCCCGGCGACAGCCCCGAGCGGTTGCAGCCAAGCATGCAAGGGACGCGGGGGCACACCGTGACCCACTTCCTTCTTGCACAGGCTGCCCTATTTTCTGTATGACGTCAAAACCTCCCATTCACCCCGAAATGGTGAATCGATGCGCCCCTATCTGGGTCGACCTGAATGAAGCAATGTTACATTCATCTTGAACTGCTATTTATAGCTTGGAAGGTGAACTCAATTTCACGGGAACCAGTTTTGGTGACTACCGGAGGTTGCAATTAAGTTCTGCTCATTGGGGATTTCTTTATGACAACTCGAGCTTACACACCTAGCAGTTTTTATCTGTATGCACATCATCATCGCAGGTGTATCGGGTGGTTTAGTGAATAGCGCATAGAAACGGCTTTGTCCGGTGTTTGATTACGTTTGTAAGCACTTTCCAAACACAGGGCAATTCTGTTGTACAATTAGTATGGACAACAAAAGTGGACCACAGGGATTGTTGATGTTATTTTTCGCCAATGTTCTTGCAACACGTTTGTAGCTATGTTTAGCTGACCTCGACCTATATTGATTACACGTGCTGTATTGTTTCAGATCTCGCGCGCCAGTATCGACGCGTGCAAAGACTACTTCCGCGACGACCTCGTCAAGACCGATTGGCAGCTGATGGTCGAGCTCAAGAAGCTTTTCCAGATCCTTTAAATCCCACCTTTGTACTTGTGACCTTTTCAAACTCTCCGGTCTTCAACCGTCTCTGAGAGTCAAGTATCGTTCTCCGTCCGAAACAATTCTATTGTCAAATAAGTAATGCTCGGCCAGAAACAGACAATGTCAAGTAAGAAGCTTCGTTCACATTAAGGATCTCTTAATTTGGTCGAGTACTACTTATTTGACAGCAATTGTTTAGGACGCGAGAGTACAGGGCCTGATGTTAACCGACTTTTTTGGGAATGTACGATGTCCTTCTTTCGTTTACTCCCATTTTTTCAATCTGTTCTTGATTTTACTTTATTTTCCCTTTAAAGTTTCGATAAAAGTACAATTCGAAACTACCCGAGTGTACTATCTGTTCCATCTAGATCCCAAGTGACTCACAGAATCTCATGCCGGTTAACCAATATGACAATCCTGTATCCTACGTATTTGAATGTAGCCATAAATAGTTTATTGTACGAGATTACAACTTGCAGTCTTAAGTAGTTTAGACCTCGCAGTCGACATGTCTTGTTAAATTGCAATATAGTACGTAAATAAGATTTTTGACGCGAAGGAAGACATACGCAACTGTTCTCGTATGAGTTTACCATCCACTGCCATGTGTTGTATATTAGTTTGTTTACGTTGAAGCCATTGTACGACTTATTAATGAAGGAAGTATTCGCATAGTATAATAATATTGATATATGGAAAATTCATACAAACGTAACAGCGTGGTTTATTCGCGAAACTCCACGACGCGCTCGCTTTGCATAAGGCCTGCCCCCGCGTTTGTTTTAAATCATCTCAGTTGTGTGAATAGTGTCAAGCGCAGGATGTTGTGCGTTTCATATTCTAATAAAAGTTAGAGTAGTGGCTAGACATCGAGGTACTATTCGACTGCCATTGCAATTCTTAGGTATTCTGCACGACCATGGCGAGTTGATGGTACGTCGTAGTCTACTAATTGTTTGAGATAAACAAAAAAAATATTTGATGACATATTTACAGCGTAAACGAGATGCATTGTAATTTTCACTGTAGTTTTCGTAAGGCAACATCGATTGGTTGAATGAATGGATACCATTACCACCATTTCACGGACACACTATTTAGACGCAACCGCCATTGCAACTAGGTTCTAGCAGAATAACAATAATTGCAATTATAATCTTAGTGGAATCCTGATCGTCTCACGCGCCTTCAATTATTATGCGAATGTGTGCGTCCGCACACGGCGCGTAGCGAGCGTGCACACATACAAGCCGCACTGCTATTTTGTATGGAGTTACCATATTCGTCTTATTATATTCGATTCCAATATTTATTGCGAAATAAGTTTGTAAATAGTAACATCGTACGTTTAATTTATTTGTATTAAAGATGAGAGGGCGTGTTTTAATTTCAATCTTTGGTACCTTTAATTGGACCCATACGCGTTAAGGTGCGTCGAGAGGTTAAACATTTGAAAGTTGGAAATTCTTTGGAAACTTTTGTCTATAATATCCTTGATGATATATCATATACAGTGTCATTTGTAAATACCCGTTTTGTTTACAAATAACTTTTGATAGTAGCATGTAAATAAAGATTCTTCATTATTAATGGTACTTGTAACAAAATATGTTGTGTAGTGCAATAAACGATCTCATCGGTAAGTGGATGTATTCGTAGGGCAATATGTATCTGTTTTTCTGCGGTGCTTCTGTTGTAGTTGACCTGTGAACTTTTTATATCGTCGTTGTCATTCGGTGTCTATGAATAAAGGCTAGTTTTGTGTGGATTAATTTGGAGGTCGTCTATTGTGCGTTATGTTTAAATTTTTTAAATGTGCCCAATGAACCCTTGCGTAGTCTGGTTCATTTCGACGGTTGCAAGGCCTAAATCGATGACGTAGTCACAAAACGTGTTTGCCAATGTGGGAAAAGCTCGGGGTGATTGTAAGCAGATTAACATTGCATACAGGGATCAGAATGTGCTAAGCGTAATTGAGAAGCGGGACAGGAGTCCACAGTGAAGGTACAGAAGGTTGTATTTTATATTATACCTAAGTATTTTTCCCTTTTTGAAATGCTTTGTATTATATATATGGAATCGGACATATTCTTATATTGATGAAATTTTATTAAAGTAATAAAACTTATTTTATTGATTTTCATTTTAAGGGTCGTATTCATTGACTTACAATTATATGGACGTCGGGTCCGCGCTGAAAAGTGTCCGAACTTATAGGGCGTTAAAATCGTATACAGAGCGTCATTCACGCTTTAGTCTTCGTTTGTTCGACTGACAGCGAAGCAAGCAAAATTAGACAGTACTGCGATGACATTACAATTTAAATTCAACGTTTTAGCTTTTTCATATTCCTTTACATGTCACTACGTTTAAATAGGTTGACTTGGGACATTTTTTTCGTGGTTTTTGTATTAGACCCGTCGTCCATTTATTTGTAAGTCAATGGTCGTATTCTAGAACTCTACTCAATGCTCAAGCCAGGGTTGCAATTGAACCACAAGCACTGGAAATACGACCCTAATGGCAGGGACTTGAGTATGATTTCGGGTGCTTTAAACCATACTCAAATCCTGACTTGAGCATTGAGTAGAGTTCTAGAATACGACCCTAAGACTACTACATCCTCTGAGACCTTAGGTTCAGAAAAATGAGTCTCGCTAATATTTATATCATAATTTATTTGATTTTTAGTTCGGGACTTAATCATGTATAAAACATTTTGGATGTATTGCAATATCCATGGTGTCGAAGGGACTGAAGAGGCGGGTGTCAACATCTAGCCATACGAGTTTTTCTAAGTACCCGCACTTGGTCTTCATTTTTTTATATTAAGAGCTTTGGCTTGGATACAAGTCCTTTGAGCCATGTCTTCGTTTAATTATCGGGATCCTCAATAAATATTTTCCATAGTGGTTCTAATACATTATGTTTTGACTTTCTCATAAATAACAGTTCACTTGTTTGGGTTTTTTTAAATAGTCTTTTAAGCGGCGGGAGTCAGTATTTATGTTTTCACTTTCACATAAAACACATTATAGTCACTTTATATAAAAACTTTGATTTCGTTATTAGTGGAATTTTCGGGAAACAACTCTTGTAATTTGGTTTGAAATAAGGAATATAATTGTAACTTTCTTAATCTCTATTTCTTTCTTCGTATTTTACTTCGTAATATACTTAAAGTAAAAATAATCTTTGTTAAAACTACTTGTGACTTCAAAAGCCTGCCATTTTTTCCCACTTGGTCATCATTATTTATTTGTGCACTAGGGTTATCACTAGACCGACACACAACACTCACGACATCCGGCGATTTGTCGGGCGATACTTGATATCGTTTACATTTGCTGATGATTGGATCCCACGACGATGAAAGCTTAAAACCGTCTTCTCGATTGAAATTACGGTTTTGTTTTTATTTCAACAGCTTCACGTACGATTCTACTATACTGATGACGTTCTGTAGAAATGATCTAGGAATTATGAAGGTCAATCCAGTGGTTTGGTTATGATACCAGCAAATATTCTAAATGAAAATGACAATTTTTACATATTGAAGTAGGTACATTAACGGTGAAGGTTAAACATCGTGCAAGTCGAAGAAGGTTCACAAATCCTTGTGTCGCGTCTAGCCTTCATGGATGACCAGCGTCCAGTCTTCATGGATGACCAACCTGACAAGCCACAAAGACAGACTTACTAGACTGACAGCAATTCGAAATTAGACCGACTTTCTCTTGGACAAAAGACGACGACTCGTTTTCCTTTCTTTGACAAAGGATGAGGAGGGTAGTCCTGACTAAACCTTTGACACGAGCAGACGACTTCTCCTGACTAAATTGTACATACAGACCGTACACCTTGGAAACGTTTGCAACCCGCATGACCAGCGTAGCGAACTATGACCTAAAACTCGTGCCCAGTAGGGGGATGAATGGGGCAGTTTCCTCATGCTCCTACTGGTAGGACCAAAAGGATAAATATGTCCTCGTGCTCCTACTAATGTACTGTCACCCATATTTATAAGTAATTGATATTGTAGTACTCGTATGTATGTTATGGGTTCATGATTATTATTTTTTTATTCCTAACATTCTACAAACGGTAAAAGCTACAGACTACAATAAAATACATATCATCATGCCTGTCCCCACAAGGGTAGGCAGACTCTATGGACCTCCAACTGCTACGCTCCTACAAGAAAATCATGCCCACTAAATGCAAAGACCCTTCATTGTAGTTGTTTTGACCCTAATTCTGCATGTGGAGAATCGTACTCAGCACTGGATTGTATAAAAGATTGACAACGATGGAGAACACTTGAAAACCTACTCTTACGATATGAGGTTCTTCAAACGATGCGGGGAGAGGCATCTCATCATCATCAATTGTATCAACAATGCATTGGGTTTGTTCACGTTTGGATTCCATGTAACATCAGTGCTTCTACCACGAGTTTGCTATGACAAACTGAAGTCAAAACCTGCAAAGAAACTGAACGCTTGGCACATTATACAGCGCCCCTGGCGGTCACAAGCAGGAACAACATTTTGAATACAAACATTTGACGCGGTCGCTAGTGATAATTCACAGTAAAATCATAGTAGAGGCACAGGTGGACTGGAGTCACTTATCTGTCACGTATAAAACAAAAACTTACGATGCTCATTGTTGTATGTTGAATTGCATGACCAGTTAATAAACAAATGTGAGAGTACCCTAAAATTATATTCCATACCTAATTAATAAAAAAAACCGACAGAACAGTATACTCCAAAAAGTCATCATGTCTAAGCTGATTGTTTTGCTGTGAGTGTAACCTATTTTAGTTGCAGCATCAGATCTAGGTTACAATATTATTGTAACGTTATCGGATTTCTATACTATACCAAATTTCAAGTCGATCATATAAATGGAAGTAAAATAAACATTCTCATTTTATTACTGAGATCCTTGCAGCAATTGGGAAACAGCTGATGATCTTTAAACAACTGAACAGATGTTCATCAAACATAGAAGAACGTTCTCGATTAAACTACCCTTCACATAAACAAAAACAG